AGTGGTCCGCCAGCGCCGTGACAGCGTCCTGAGAAGAAGCTAAGTCCATTATACGCTAGTCTTTATAATAATGTTATTCGGCGTTGGCCCTGACTACTCCTTCTCCTCATTTTCACTGCCAATGCTCGCCAAAGCCAGACAATGGCGGCTATCAAAAGTTTATTTCAACTGCCTCAGAAAGGCGCAACGCATTCTCTTCTCTCTCGTTGGATTGGCGACGTCCTTTACATCAAGCCTGATGTCAGCGTGCCGCATCAACTTTTCGTCTTTCAAGGATCAAATGTAGCTTTGATGCTGCAATGGAGGGGACAGGATTACGGCTGTGGCGTTTAGCCATCAGAATGACGGGGATGTGTTGGCGGTGGGCAATGATGTGAGCAAGATTAGGATGTGGGAGATTAGGAGTTAGATGTGAGGAGCGGGGATGTGAAGCGTGTTGTTGGTGGTCAAACCGTGCCGTGCAGTGTATAGAATAGGGGTAATTCACGGGTTTGGACTACAAAATACTGACCACAATCTGTCTAAGGGGCTCAGCAAGTTTTTTCGTATTTTTTTTTTCGTATCCCCGTGCTGCTCCTTGTCTATGTTATCCACGTTGTGATCGATTTCCGTATCCCCTTTCTCCTGGTGGGGTAGTAAGGGGTTAGATTCCTCTTAGATATTTCTAGTTTCCGTCTGCTTTCCCTCCTTCTCCCCTTTCAACTTCTCCTACTCTCTCCTCACCCTCGCCTCCTTCTTCCTCCGCATCTTCTTCTCCTCCTTCTTTCTCTGCCACTCCTCATCCAAATGCGGGTTGTTGATATTCTTCAGCAACGCCCCCTCCGGCTCGCTCCTAATGACCCTCCATCTCGGGTAAATCTTCTCCTCTCGCTTGGTATACTCCGACAGCTCATAAGTGGTGCTGAAGCGCTGTGGCCTTGCCTTTCCTCCGGCTTGGATGATCTCGTCGGCATCAAGGACGTCGTAGATGTTGACGTGCACGGCTTCGATGGCCTGTTTGGAAGGAAAAAGAAAAGAAAAAGAATTGTTCGTTAGTCTTGATATCGGTTTTCATTTCTCTGAACGCAAATTCCCCAACATAATGTAGTATGTTACATACCTCTCCACAGCTCTGGATACTTTCAAACTCGCCTTCCAGACCAATGGTATCGCACAGTTTCTTCCAATCCTTGAGTTTCCTTTCGCCTATGAACCCGTTGAACTTTTCGACCACTTCCTGTTCTTCCTTTGTCAATCTATTCTTCTTCTTCTTGTCGTTCAGCTGGCTTGTGGCCTTGGTTGATGAGTTCGGTCTATTCCACTGTGTTGTGTGCCAGTGCCCAAGTGCGAGAGGAAGTGTTGCACCGAGTCCTGTTGGTCTTCCCGCTGTCACTTGTAGGCGGTTGAGGCTGCATGGTCGTTTGTGGAATAGGGAGCAAAGCAGGAAGACGCGGAGGGAGTTCATGGTGGTCTTTTTTTGTTAACGAGAGCGTTAGCTAGAGGTAGATAGGTAGGGGAAATGTTGGTTTTTTTTCTGTTTTTTTTTTCTTGTTTTTTTTTTTGAACGTCAAGTAGACACCTACTTACCCAGTTACAGCTATTATAAGCCCGCCTCTAGCTCTCTGTAGGTTTTTTTAGTGCTCCTTCTGTCTGGTGTTTCTTGTTGCGTACTTCTGCTGCTGCGTATGGGCAATCAACACCGGAGTGTCTTATTCGCGCGGTCAAGTTTCTCGCCACGGACTGAAGAAGGAACTGAATAAAAGAACGGGTGAAGCCAAGAAGTAAGACTTTGCCCTCTAAGCGAACGGAAACAAAGCAAAAAAAACAAAAGCAAAGTCCATCGTGGTTGCGTTGAGCATGTCCCCATCCCGAAGTAAGGTCCTTTGCAAACGGACGGTAAGTGGTTGACGTGGACTACCTACCTGTGGCCGTTTGTCTGTCAACGCAAAAACAAAACTGCTTCCGAGTGGCTGGCTTGCTGCACGACAGCAGCACTACACCCAGAGGAGGACGCAGTTTTTCCGGGCTCCCCAAAATTTTCTGGACATGTTGTACATCATGGACATCGATCATCATTGGGAATGGAGCATCATTGCGTTGCTCTTAGAGCCTAGCGTAGATAGATATATGCCGTGGTGCGAAGGCGAATACCTGCAATACAATCCAAGTTAAAAAGTGTACCTACCTACCTATTAGGGAAGTTGTACGGATTTATCAACACCCCCCAAAGTCTCAAGGTGCAGGCAAACGAGATAGTGTACACCCAACCATGCTGTTTTCCACATCTTCCTCCCACAACGAAAAGTCTTGGCCTTGACAACACGTCCGCCATTGGCGGCTCGCTCACTGAGCGATTCGATTGGAGGTGTTGGGCCGCGTTTACGCTATGGGCAACACGTGATTTGCATTGGCAATAGGCCTCGGGTTGCCCTCGGACGAATGGTTTTGATGGACAGTTGGGGTGTTGCTCCTATTTTTGTACGCTAGATTCACCGATGTGACACGTCTCATGCCCTACGGGAGGCGGAATTAAGCGTTAAAATAACAACAACAACAACAACAACAACAACCAAACACCAAATCATGGGATTTCTGTGATCACCAGCCAACCAACAATTTACGACACAAACAGCAATCAAGAACAGTGAGAACTGTTATCTGAAGCTCTAATTGCTAACTCTATGCATTACGACTGCGTTCTCTAAAAACAATGCAGAATATAACCCAAAATGCATCCCAACCATGTCTATCTGTGTCTATACCGATAAACATCGAAATTGGCACCAATAGCCCGGGAGATTATGCCTCAGGAAGCGTAACAATACCAGTATATGACCCCTCGTCCTGATGAACGACCGTCTTCTTGCCCGTCTCGACATCCACCGAGTAAATGCTACCACCAAGATCACTAACAAAGATCTGCTTCCGTTGCAGGTCAAGCTTCAGACCAATCGGCTCGTGGAAGTGTCGCGCCAGGATCTTGACCTCCTTCTTCTCGTCTACTACCTTGGCGCAGTTAAGCGAGTTACCACACGGGTGCTCACCGCGATCAGTCCAGTACAGGACACCGGTCTCGGACTCAATCTCGAGATCAATCGGCTCCGGCAGCTTTTCAAACACAACCTCGATATCAGAGCGGTTGGAAGCAGTTTCTCCAGGGAGGAAGTCGATGTTCGCGCGGAAGATGCGGCCGAGGTTGAACTTGGAAGGGCCCTTTTGCGTCCAGTAGAACTTGCGGTTCTTCAGGTCCACCGTGATGCCAATGCACCAGTCATTGACATCAATAGCGCTGCCGGGGTTCTGGACAAGGACCTCGTGCTCGGAGCCGTCAACGTTGCAGCGGTGTACGGAGCAGCCTTCGCGGTCGCAGAAGTAGAGCTTCTCAGTGCCCTTCTCGGCGTCCTTGACGAGGACCAACTGCTTGGGCGTGGTCAGGACGCCGTCAGAAAGCAAAACCTTCTTGTCGGAGCCGTCGAGGCGGGAGGACATCAGGCTGCCGTCGCGAGTGTTGACGTTGGCGCCCATGTTGGTCCAGTACATACGGTCGGCAAAATGGTCGACATCGATGCCGTCGGGCGCGGGCAGGCCGGTGATCAAGGCTTTGGGAGGCTTGTTGGGCGCGTCGAGGCGGAGGATCTTGCCGTTGGTCGAGATGCCGGCGAGAGAAGGATAGGAGGGGAGTTGGAGCCGAGACCGACATCAAGCATAAAGATAGGGGGCATCTGCTTCTCCGAAGACTGGGCAACAGCAGACTTGAGAGAAGGGTTGACGGCCACGGTGTTTGGAGGATACAAGCCGCCCTGCTCAGGGGTCTTGAGACCCAGCTTGCCTTGGCTGATGTAGTTGCTGCGCAACCAGTCAACCGTCAAATAGCCGTCGAGATAACGCTCGTTGATGTAGTTGTCCTCAATGAAGGCGACCGTGTCAAGGCCGACGCGGTCCATAGCCTGGCAGGGCATGACCGAGGTTTGGAACATGGTACCCCAGAGGCGGTCGATCTCGGCCGCGTCAGAGACACCCTCGGCGAGGATGAGGAGGATCTCACGCTTGATGGCAGCCCACAGGCGGTTGAAGATGAAGCTGGTGGATTTCTGTTAGTCATGGTTCACAGAAAAAAAAGGTGATGTCTCGGCCGACGCCATGTGCTTGGGTATCAGTGGATTAGGCTTACCCAGTAGACTCCTTCCTCGCCGTGGCCGGAAGCATACCGCACTTCCTCAACACCTCGCTCAGAAACGGAAAGATCTCCGGATGCGTGTGTCCATCCGTCATCAGCTCCACCGTCCTGACGGTCGGCGGCATCGTGTAGTGCACATTGCACACCAGCTTCTTCCTCTCGTCGCTGACCTTCTCAATCATCAGCGAGCTCTTGAAGCTGCTCGAGTTGGAGCCCAGGATGCAGTCCTTGGGCGCATACTGATCGAGCTCGCCAAAGGTGTCGATCTTGAGTTCAATTCTCTCGGGGACGGCCTCGATCACGAGCCACGCGTCCTTTACGGCGCTTTCAATGTCTTCGGAGGCAGTGTAGGTGCCATACTGAGCGGGCTTGCCGCTGGGGCAGAAGGCCGTGTAAGCTTCCTTGTTCTCATCGATGTACTTGAGGGCATCCTCGCGAGCTTGAGGGAAAGGGTCCCGGATGTGGACATTGAAACCGGCAGCCACATAAGAAGTGGCGATGCGGCGGCCGAGGACACCACCGCCCAGGATGGCGACAGGGCGGGAGCCGATGTTGGGGGCTGACCAGACCATGATGTGTGCAGTTGTAGGTATGTGTGTGAGTGTTAAAAATGGTTTCGTAAGGTGCTAACAAAGAAAGGGGAAAGTAAACAATCAAAGATGCAGCGGATGGATGGCTGTCTGTGGACTGATTGATATGGAATATTGCTAACAACAACTTCAAGAGGTCAAAACATTCTAGATATATACAACATGATCACCGTCCATCCTGAATCCGGGCATTCACTTGCCATAGCCATGATCCACCATTTTGAAAATAGCACGGCACGGAACGCATCAGTCACGAGTTTCCAGTCCCGTCCATGTCTCGCGGCACCGATCAAGCCGTGCACGCACTGGGCAACGGATTCTTCTAAGAGCGGGCAATCTACAACAAAACAGCGCGAAGCTCCGTGGTTCCGCGAGGCCGGTACCGCTAGACGAACTATCCCTGGTATCCCTGATAGATTGCTACAGTAATTGTATGTGCGCATCATCAGGGTTGGCTCTCCTGTGTTTGGCTGGTAGAGCTACTGCCCCGTTGTGAAACTCCGTCGGCCAGTATCCTGCTACTATTCAGTGATGACCAAGATACCAGTGAATCGTGGCAAGGAAAAGGGGCCACGGGAAGCTTCGGTACTTTGTCAGTCAGTCAGTCCTGTCAGTCAGGGAAGATCCCCCATGATCCATAATGATCGATATCATAAATGATGGGATGAAGCCTGGATTGGGATGGGATACCAAGAAGGCAGTGAGCACAGCTGAAGCTCGGACGAGAAAAATACGGCGTCAGAGACGCCTGGGTCAGCAAGATACATGGCAACCCGTTTCAGACTTGCAAGAGTCAGCAACAACGGAGAGAACCCATCGGGACTCCGGGTGGTTGTGGGCATTGGGGCAAGCTCATCCACTCTAACAAGTAGGTCGGTCCAGGGCTGGTGCCTAAGAAAATATTTCCGGGAATACAAATAGAACTATGTACAAGAAAAGAAGGGATCTTGCGATGAATACCCGGATCTGATCTGTGTCCTGTGGAGAGGATTAGAAAATTAGAGAGAGGGCTGGAACTCCAATGAGAAGAAAGGGGATCTGATCTGAGAGCGACGGCCGAAGCAAGAGCGAGATCAGATTACAGACTGACTGGATTGGCTGGATTCTGATGGTCCATATTGGTCAAGATGAGGCACAAAGACTGTGAAGTCAAGTCCAAGGCAAGTGCACCCCAAACCGGGATCTGCTTTGCACCGTCTGGCTGCTCTGCAAGTCGGCGGGCTGTGTAATGCTTGGTCAAGTCCCCCATCATCGTACATACTCTTTGTAATCTGGGGAACAACTCCAACTCCAACTCTGCCGGCTATGTCAATGGTACGTCTTGAGTGAGGTATTACAAGGCTTACCACACACTGAGATGGTGTGCGCATTGTTTCGGGCCCTTTCCCAGGAAGGGGAAAACAGGATCTCCCCGATGGACCATCTCATTAGATTGGGGATGTCCCTTTCGGCATCAGCGGGAACCAAACGTCAATGTTTCCTATTGACCTATCCTGATGATGACATTGCATCACCTCCGGCCAGGCAAGAAGAACACCGTCGGGAATAGTCCGACGGACTGTTCACGTGTTGACGTGGACGGCGAGCCTCATTCAAACAGAGACAAGTGACAACAGCCAAGCCAGACCGGTTCTTCTTCACTGGAAACAACCTGAACCAACCATTGTCAAAGGATCTTGCTTGATAAGCGAAGCGTTCGCCGTTCATCTGCTGTCATTGAGATACGTCGTCGTGGTTCCCGGTCGCTGCTGTTGGGAATTGCCGTCAGAGGACCCACGTGCCCACACGGACTGTGTATGGACGGATGAAAGTCGCTGCCGCCTCAGAATGGGAATCTTGATCTTCAAAGATGGAGACAAAAGATGGTGAAATCCGAGGCAAGTGGATGCTGGCTCGGCTGGGTGAGCTACGGGTATATACCAAAGGTTCCACAGTACGTACCTCTGGATAGTTCCCGTCGGGTTTTACCCCGGCATTTTTTATCAACGGTTGTAGCGATCAACAGACCGTCGGCGATTCGAACCTAGGTACCTAACTAAATCGAACATTCCGTTGTCGTCTGTGTCCAGCGGTCAACAGCACAGTAGAAACGTTGCTGACAATGGAGTCTTCTTTGCGGTCCAATTCCCTGTCAGCTAGTCAGCGAACAAGGATAGGCCTGCGTTTCCCCATATGCCTCAAAAGTGGATACCACCAGGGAAGGGGTCAGGAAGGGGATTCTTCGAAGAATGGACGATTCCCACTCTCAATTTTCGATGTGTTCCAGGCTAGACTCCAGGCTGGATAGCGGTCTCGAACATTGAAGCTGGTACTTGGCATTCGTCAGTTCACTGGAGTTTGCTGGATTTCAGCGGGGCGGTTGTTGTTAGTGCTGTTAGTTGGACCTGGCGACGACATCAACGTCCGTAAAGGGGTCTTCGGGCATCGGACGTCGTTGGTCTCGAACAGGGAGGTTGTTGTTGTTAGTGCCGGTAGTTCGTGGTGGTGAGCGATAAGGTTATTCCCGGATGCTAACTTTTGATCACATTCGACCAGATCGATGAAACAAAATGCAAAGATTGTTTGGGTGCATCATGAACTTGTCTTCTTTTTCTCTGTGTTCTAGAAAGATCGTGATGCCGAAAAGTATTGGACGTCGACATTAATGTTGTTAAAAGGGGCCCAAAAAGGGAAGACATGCAAAGAAAGAAGACAAGTCACGGCAAAACACACAAAGACAAGACAATGTACACAATCGTGTTGATATCTATGACAAAGGAAAAAGTTTCTGTCGAATCGTCCAAGTTGTCCTCTAAAACCCAAATAAAAATGATATCCCACCCTGATATGACCACTTTTGCTCCCAAAATGAATTCGTAAAACCCACGTAAATCCAAATTACTACAACAACAACAACAACAACAACAACAACAGCAATAGCAACGACGATGACCACCACCACCATCACCACCTCAAGTCATTAACAACCCTTGAAGTCCTCGACTAAAACAGGAAAACTTGATCCGTAGCCTTCGACAGCGTCCCCGGTGCAGTAAAGCCAAGCGAGACCAGATTCTTGCTCATGGCCGCGACCATGGGCGGGGGACCGCACAGCAACATCTTGGTGGAATCACTCGCAGGTGGCAAGAACTCCTTGATCATCTCGGCCGTTACAAAACCCTTGAGGCCCTTCCACTTGTCGTCGGCATGGCTCAAGACATACTGCACCGACAGCTTCTCGGGGAAGGCCTTGACGAACCCGTCGAGCTCCTCCCTCAGCAGGATGTCCGCCTCGGTGTTGTTAGCGTACAATAAAGAAATCTTGGTCTTGTCGTACTTGTCCTCGCAGATGGCTCGGATGAGCTGGTACATCGGAGTGATGCCGGTGCCGCCCGCAATCATGCCGATTTCCTTGGCGTACTGGTTGGGCACGTACTGCATGGCGCCCTTGGGCCCGCGGATCTCGATCTGGTCACCGATTTCCATGCGCTCGAGGTGCTTGGTCATGAGGCCCTTGTCGTAGACCTTTATGAGCAGCTCGACGCGGCCAAGGTCCGAGTTGTTGGAGACCGGAGTGTAGGAGCGCGAGACGGACTTGCCGTCGATCATGGCGCGCAGGGCAATGTGCTGGCCCGTGGGCAGGCCGAGGACGTCGGTGGGATGTGGGAGGGCAAAGAAGAGGTGGTACACGTTGGGAGACACCAAAACCTTGCGCACAAGCTTGAACTTGCGCCAGTTGGCAGGGTCAATCACCTTGACGGGAGGCTTGACGGCGGGACCGGTGGTAGAAGAGGTGGGGACGTTGAGGATGGCCACCTTACGCTCCTTCTTGGCCGGGCGGCTGCGCGGGAAGTGGGTGAACTCCTTCTGGGCTTCGAACTTGGAGAGCGCCCAGGTGGTGACGGCGGTGGTCAAGGATAACTCGACGACAGTGGCGATGCCGACGCCCCACCAGAAGAGCTTAGACGAGCCCCCGTTTTGGGCGAACTTGGCTCTGATAAATTTGGCGAGCTGGCTGATGGGCTTTTGCGCCGTAGTGACGGCCGCGAGAGCCCATTCGGGGCCGGTCCACCACCCGTTGGCCAGACCGACGGCGCCGACGCTAGCGATGACGGAGGACATGGCGACCGTCTTCTTGATGTTGTTACGGATCTTGGATTTAGCGACCTTGTTGATGTCGATGGCGGCCTCCATGGCGACCTTTTCGAACGTTGGCCTGAAGATCTCGACCTCCTCGGCGTGTTCCTGTGTGTCTGTTAGTGGTCTGATTCAGGGGTAAAGGAAAGTGAGAAAAAAAAACAAAAAAACATACATCTTCGGCTAAATCACCAACGTAGAGCTCTTTTAGAATATCGGTGGCCTCGACAGAGTGTCCAATATCGACGAATTGTTCGGTGGCATCAGTGCCGGCAACCTCACGAAGAATGATGGAGCCACCGGGGTGGTCGTCGAGGTACTTTGTGCAATCGTAGACTGATGAAGTCAGAGTCAGCAGTGGTTCACTGAGGAAAGAAGGGCAAGAACTCACCCTTGTTGTGAATAACCATCCAAACATCGTCCTTGCTTTTGTGCTTGCGCACTTCGTCGAGTGTGAATGTGGCGGCCATGATCAAGTTGATTTTGTTGTTGTTTTTGGTGAATCGCAAAAGTCAAGGAGGCCCCGCAACCTTTGTGTGAATAAAACACAACGAGGAGTGTAACGAGTATAGTGGATGGATATAAATCCAGTAATGACAGGAAGCAACAAAATACAAAGCTGACAAGACAACTAGAAAGAAGTTGAATTAAGCAAGCGAGAGCACGGTGTGGTGGCTGAAAGGGGATATAATATGAGCCAACAAACCTAAAAACGTCCGAATCGGGGACTTGGATCTTCTCGCCTTGGTCGGCGAGATATTCCCGACGTGTGCCGCTACGGAACCGGTTGCCGAAGGGGGTCATCTCGGATGGAGTAGAGGTGAACTCTTGTTCCTCGGTCACCGTCTCGATTTTCTCCACTTCTTCCAAGTCCGTCCTCTACCCTTGACTTTTCTTCTGTCACCTTCTTGACTCGGGACTACGTATCGTGGTGTGCTGCATTGCAATGCTGGCATTCGTTGTCTTCCAAAGAGAACATGAAGTGGTCCACTCGGTGGCTATCTCCATGTCGTCGAGTTTCATCACAACCCCCGCCCCCCCTGTCCGCACCCTGTCAAATGTATCAAGAACAAGCACTTTTTGGTCCTTGCGGCGAACTGAGACTAAGCCGGGGTTCGTCTCGTTGACCGAAAGCTTGACACTGACAGCCATGACAGATGAGCATCCGATTGGTGGTCGTCGTCACGTTCCCGACTTTTCGGTGGGTCTTTACGGCTCCCGAGGTTCGGACGCACGAACTTCAATCTAGTTACAACCTTGATCCGTCCCTGGTTCCGTCGATTATTCTCCGTGCTCCCTTCCGCCTTTCTCGGACTTACACCGGACGAAGACGGGACCCACCATTCTAACAATCGAGATACGGCAATGATACGGAGGCGGACGATGATTGGGGATTGACCTTGAGGCATTCTTCGAAGAACGACCGTACCCGCACCCAGACCTTGGATAATTCTCTTGTCTATGTAGCAGCGTAATGATACCAAATGTGACGTGAGCTATTCAGAGTGCAACACGTTATCGTAGGCAGAAAGCGAGATGCCGAGACCCGATCACCACCAATGGCCCCAAGCGCAAGGGGTACACTACCAACCCTGACCAGCCAGCTTTGATATATAAGACCGCAAACACCAGACCACACTTTGCTTGGATTTGTTGTTGATGTTGACACTATCCAACAATTCAAGTGTTGTCCATACCTGGATACCACAGTCAGTTACCATGTCATCGCAACAAACATTTTTCCTCCTTGGCGATGAGCCATCAACCGCCCGCGGCATCGTCGTCGATCCCAAGTGGAAGCTTGAGGAGCTCAAGAGGGCCGTTGGTCTTGCCCACCACGTTGCCCAGCCTACTGGTATGTCACCTTCTGTCCGTCTTCCAGCCCTTAAACTCTCACTGACATCCCCAGGCATCTCCTTTCACGTCGACGCCGATGACGAAAAGGTTCTCAACACCGTCGAGGAAATCCTCAAGGCCACTTCGCCCGTCGCCTGCCGCATCGACGGCAACCCCGTCCGCGACCCCCAGGGGCCCGAGGGTCTTCCCGTCGTCGGTTCTTACTATGAAATCTTCCCCGACCACCTGGGCAACCACTACCGTCTCTTCCGCAAGTACGGGCACGTCATCAAGACGACCAACATGGGGCGCACCAACTACCTGACCGACGACCCTTCGGTGGCCCTCGTCGCGCTTGCCGAGTCGGCCTACTTTACCAAGAAGATCAGCGAAGACCACCCCCTCTTCGGCGTCAAGGACAACTCTGCCATCTTCATCGGCGACACCGAGACGGAAAACTGGCGTCTCGCGCACAAGTTCCTCCCACCCGCAATGGGCCCCAAGGCCGTCCGCCACTACACCCCGCTGATGCAGGAGTGCGTGCGGGGGACCTTCAAGGTGTTTGACGAGCTGGAGTCCCGCGGCGAGTCCTGGAACGTGTACCAGTACATGGTCAAGCTCGCCTCGCAAACCGTCGGCAAGTTCGCCATGGGCTTTGACTATCACCACTTCGACTCCGTCGACGCGCCCGTCCACTCCCTGGTCACCAACATTGTCAAAATGCTGGCGCTCAACAAGAAGGTCACGGCGCGCGGCGGCTGGTACCAGCACCTGCCTTTCGGCGACCCGGTCAAGCTGAAGGAGGGGCGCAGGGTCACGTACGCGCAGCTGGCAGAAGCTGTCGAAAGCGCTCCTAAGTCTGGAATCGAAAACATGCCTCTCAACGAAGCCGCTGTTAAGGCTAGTTGCGTGGCCGACTACCTCGTCAATGCCGTCGACGAGAAGGGCGAGCACTTCCCCAAGGGTCTGGTGCTGTCCAACATGCTCGTCGTCACGGGCGCCGGGTACACCACCACTTCTTCCCTGCTGTCGTGGTGCATCTACTGCATCGTCACGTACCCGGGCATGCAGGACCGTCTGCTCCAGGAGCTCATCGACTACGGCATCTCCGACAAGACGGAATGGGACCCCGATCTCGCGCACTCGTTGCCCTTCCTCGACGCCTTCCTCAAGGAAACCCAGCGTCTGCACAACGCCTCCTTCCAGCCCGGCCGCACGACCAAGACCGACGTCGTCCTGCCCGGCGGCTTCCGCCTGCCCAAGAACGTCATCATGATCCCCGCCCTCTACTCCATCCACACCAACCCCGAGCACTGGCACGACCCCTTCCGCTTCGACCCCAGTAGGTGGGAGACGGAGGAGGTCAAGAACCGCCACCGCGGCGCGTACATGCCGTTCGCCACGGGCGCGAGGTCCTGCATCGGTTTCAACTTTGCTCTCCTCGAGATCAAGATCCTGCTGAGCGAGCTGGTGTACCGGTACAATTTCACCAGGGAAGGATTCGAGGCAATCGAGTATGATCCCGAGTTCCAGCTGATCAGGCCGTTGAATCTATATGTCACGACCAAGAGGAGGACGGAGTGGCCTGCTAAGGGCGCTGATGTTAAGGCTTAGGCGGTGCCTGCTTTAGGTAGTGTAGGATGGAAGACAAGTGGTGATGGGTTGTGGTTCCTTTTCTGTTGTTGTTGGCATTGTCGGTGTTTTTCGGTTACCTACCTCTAGAGTTAGATCTAAGCTTTCAGTTGTTGCTGCTGCATTCTTCATAGGCTTTTGTTGTTGTTGTTATTTTCAACGTCTACTTCCGCCTCCCGTAGGGCATGAGACGTGCCACATCGGTGAATCTAGCGTACAAAAGTAGGATCAGTGCCCTAACTGTTCGGTTACCTAGGGTTGATGTATAGTGATCAATGGAATTCCCTTTACATTTGTTGTTCATTGGGGCTGTGACCATAAGTACGATGATGATTCTCCAGCCCATTGCATAGTGCTACAAGTTTCAATTTATTGGTGACACCAAGCGTTTGGCTGGGGGTTAGAAGAGACAACGGTTCCGGTGTAGTACACAATACTGTAGGTACACTTCACGGCGATACTCAGATCCAAGCAACCTTGTATCACGATATCACAACAATAATATCGGTCGGAAGGGAAGCATGGGCCCACATTGAGCTCCCACTGGTGGCAGATCGTGAGTTACAGTTCAACATGGATCCACAAGAAATCGCGCTACAGGAACAAAAAGAGCTTTATTGCGGAAGACGGGAAAATTGCAGGCCTCAGGGAAGAAAAAAAATAAAAAAATTAACAGCTACGAAAAGAAAAAAAACATACAACACCTGGGATTCGCTGGTCGTCACCGACCCAACTACTAGTCAGGCGATTGGAAGCTTATCTCTGGGAGAGCGGACGGGATCCCGAGTTTTCTTCCATCTGTGGTCGTATGTGCTTATTGTGCTCCTTTACACTCCTTATATTCTCTACTTTTGTCCGGTGACCCTAGTTCGATGCATCATTATTGTCATGATGTGACAAGGGCAGTGTTCTGGGCTTGGAACAATAGTTCAATTCCGCTGATAAACTACTTTGGTCTCGAAGGCCTAGTTGGTCCTTTCAACCTCTAGAGGAAGGCTGGGCTTCAAGGCCTTCTTATGCCAAAAGGGAAACGGTACCTATCTAGTACATACGGGCCCTTGTCACCTGAGGCTCCAAGGAATCTAGCGATCTGCATACATGTAGGTCTTTCTCGTATGACACCAGGAGTGTGGCATATGCCCGTATACTACCAGGAGTGTAGCATATGTCCGTGTGACACATGAGTTGGTCGCCTCCATCAGACTCCCTCAGTTACTACACCACCACTGCAAGTCTCAAGCCAAGGAAGATAGTTCTATTAGCGATACAGTTTGTTTGTTTGTTTTGGTCGAGACGGGAGGGAGGATTATTAAAACTGTCTGTAGTGTATTGACGGGAATTGGTGGAAGGGGAGAAAGAAACCTTTTTAGAAGGATAGAAAGGAAGGGGCAATAAACAGGCGGTTGACATAAGCTTTCAAACTCGACGGGGTGACCTCGCCTGAAGGGAAGTCTTGGACCTTATCCACCCGGACACTGAGACTGCTGAGCAATGCCAAGAAACGGTGATAGCTTCAAGTCAAAAGCTCGAACTGTAAGCGCTATCCCACTGCTATCAGCAACACAGTTGGGAATGGATTGAACGGTCAAGTTTGGCACAAGACGGCGAAGGAGTCGATGTCATGACTACATTACTATAAGAAAGTAGAGGTATGGTATGGTATGTACAGCGTCAGTTATATCATCTGTCCGCCCGTCCGTCTGCCCGTCTGCCCATCCATCCATCGTGGTATCATAGAATCCCATAAACAGCAAATCATCCTCCTTCTAGGTCCAACCAGATCCTCCGACAGTCCATCGACCACCACTGCATTACGTTTTTATCCTCGTATATCTCATTTCCAACATTACTCAAAAACAAAAACAAATCTCTGGCCCAGATGCGTTCCGTTACCCGCACTGCCCGCACCTTAGGCTAGCTAGCAAAGATCGTCAAGAAACCCAAGCTTTAAACGACCTCCTTAGCTCCTCCTCCTTCCTTGGAGGTACGCACTGCCTCTGGTTGCGCTGTCACGGCCTGATCAGCAGCTCCCTGGGCTCCGGCAACATCCGCCACGGTCTCGTCGCTGAACTTGAGATCTTCTTCGAGGGGAACGGTGTCCTGGATCTTCATCCAGATGACGGGCGCGGCGATGAGGAGGGCACCGCCTAGGAGACCCCACTGTTGTACAAACGCAGAAGTGGTTAGTATTTGCTTTAAAATCGAGATTGAGATATCAAGGTATATGGTTGGGGTAGAGGACATGGAAAGAAAACTTACGGTGGCACCAAACATGGTATCAAAAGGCTTCTTCAAGCCGTCCAAACGCCAGAAAACAGCGGCACCAGCGGACTGAATGCCCTTGTAGAAACCAGCGAGGTTGGCGGCTTTACGGCCAGAGTTGGAGAGAGCGCCCATGTACCTGTTTCGTAAAAGAGTCAGTCGCCATTTCTCAACACTCAACACTCAACACTGATTCTACCGAGCCAAGAGGGGGAGTACTCACCAGTAAATGCAAGTCTGCCACGCAGCATCATAAAACCCATAAAACATGTACAGAAACATGGGTCCGACATACTTCTTTCCACCATCGCTCCAATCGACCGTCACAAATCCTTCTTCAGCCGTCTCCTCGCGCGTCACCTGATCCTTCTGCCACGCGTACCCGCCGCCCCAGATAGCAAAGGTCAAGATGATCAGCGCAATGAAGCTGCCCTTGGCGCGAACCGACCTGCGCGCCCCGGCGAAATCCAAAGCATAGCCGACAATGACGGCACCGAAGATCTGCGCGAGCCAGTACAGAGTGTTGTTGAGCGCCCTGGTGCGCGTGTTGAATTGTGAGCCGTTCATGTCGTTGGACTGGTAGGTGTAGAAAGTGTTGGAGGCGAAGAACATGGGGAAGAGCAAGACGACCCAGGGGGCCGAGGTGATGGTCTCGAAGAGGCCCTTGAACTCGGTGATCCAGGAGGGGTTCTTCATCATGATGACCTTGGAACCGTCTTCGCGCTGGACCTTGCCAACGTCGCAGAGACACAGGGCTAGGACGGCGCCGATGAGGGTGAGCACCAGGAAGCCGACGTAGGTGCCGTCGGTTACGGGGCCGGCGACCTTGTTGATATTTTGACCCAGGGGAATCAGGGAGCCGATGACGGCGCCGAGGTTGAAGATGATCCAGAACCAGGAGATGTAACGGCCCTTCATGTCCTCGGTGGGGTAGGACATCATGATGGTGCCCTGGGCGGTCCAGAGGAGACCGGCGCAGACACCGAGCAGAGCGCCGGCGAAGACGACGAAGCCGTGGTTTTGGTTGTGGTTGTAGCTGAGGAAGGAAGCGATGTAGATGACGTATCCCAGACCGCCGAAGGAAAGGGTCAAGCGAACACCGAGCTTGTTGGCGATGGAACCGGAGAAGAAGGCGACGACGGCGAAGGTGCTGTATAGAGCGGTACTGGCATCGTCCTGAGCCTTGTGATCAACTTGTCCACCACCGCCGAGACCGCTGAGGGCGTTGTACATGCCCGGACACATGAAGCAGACCAGCGAGACCAAGAGCAGCTGGAAAAGAGGCGAGGCGTACCAGAGCTCGTGGCCAAAGACCTTGAAGCCCTTGTACATCCAGCCGGGAGGACGAGTGGGAGTGGTGATTTCTTCGTGGGAGGAGCCATCTTTGCTGGTGACTTCGCGAGGCGCATCGGGGGCCGGGGCGACGGCCGGTTGCTTTTCGTCGGCCATAGTTTGTTGTCGAGAACTGCTGGTTAATGGGGTGAGCAGTTCGCGACAGGATATGAAAGTAAATTGAAGAAGGGGGAAGGGAATGTGAGTTGGAGGTTCAAGAATTGGGGGAGGACCAGAAGAAAAGTCAAGCGCCAAGTCTCGACGGCGTGGTTGCGCGGGGAACTAGTGTGTGTGCGACTGGACTGGTCGAGGGACCGGGGATGTGGTACGGCGCACCGTGGAAATTGGAAGGAACGGCCGGTGCTAATCGCCTGCTAGGTACGACGGGTTCGCACGGCTAATATGTTCCTTCTCCAAAGACGCGGCAAACAGCAAAGCCAAAGAAGTGAATCAAGATAAGGTGATAGAGATCATGTGTGCCACTTCATCAACCACGTCCCGTTCGATATCAATCCTGGTTCCCGCTCGATTGTATCCGAACTGAACAACAGATAAGGTGATAAAGCCGTTGTTTTCACTTTCACTTGAAAAAGAGCACGGGATAAGGTACGGTGCGGTATGGTACAGCTCGAAGGATGGATGTGTTGACTTTTCAAATAGAGGGTAGTAGTAACGTTGTTGAGATAGACGACGATACCCGACACACATTCCCAAACGCCTCAAAAAGTGTAACCTCGTTCGTTCGCCACGGCGACACCCACGGCGCCAAGTCAAGAATAGAAAAAATGAAGTGAACCAGACGAAGCAGAGAAGCTCTGCAACACTGTACGCACACAACCGCACTGCATGCTGCAGGCAGGGTACCCGTAGCCCAGGCAGGGCAGGGGAGGGCAGGGCGCAGAAAGGAAAAAAAAAAAAAAAAAAGAATGCGAGAGTACCATCGTGTGCCCAGTGACCTGTGCCCAGTCTCGCCAGTGCCATCCCGCAAGGCTCCTCCACCACCAACGTAACGCTCGGCCAACGGCATCGTAAGGGTTGACATTGGTTGAACCAATAGCGAATGTGGAGCAACCAACAATTTGTTGAAAGTTATGAATCCCATGGTTCAGGTTGTCAAGACCGCTCAAAAGAAAGAGGAGGGCAGCAGACGTGACTCTCTGTGATGTAGCTTTCCCCGCTGTCACACGACAGGTAGTACCTAGGAATGACAAGTGAAGGCTGGGAATATTGAACAGCGTATGTATGTAGACAGATCAAAGCCACGGCGCAGTATCTGAGACAGAAGGAATGCAGAAATGCATAGCGTACAAATAAACAGAACTAAAAGGCAAGACGGCGCCGGTCGGCGTAGGACGGGACGTTGGTGAAAGCTTGAAACAGATACATACCTAGATGACAGCCCGTTGGAGGAAAGTCAAGAGAGAAAAAGCAGCAAGACGGAAAACGAAATAGTACCTAGATAGCGAACTCACGTGGAGTCGGTGTCAGAGATATCTTGTTGATAATCGTTTCGGATTTAAAGACCCGTATTGGGGAAGTGCTGATTGTGTGTAAGTGCGAAAAAGTGGAATGCGAGATCATGTTGCTAGGTAAGTATAGCCGGGCATTTGCTGCTAGAGCAAACTACCTTTCCCGCTGCGGGAAGCTAACAGTTGTCAATGTCAGATACCTCACCAAGATCAAACTTGCATCGCACTGGAACAGTGCCGCAAGGGAATGAAGGTTCCACGGGCAGCACGTCCAGCCACGCCGCTTGGCAGCAGCATCCACCCGCGACGCCAAAAAAGCTTCTTGCGCTTCGTCCAGTCTCGTTGGGGGAATTGATCACTGGAGTAATCCTTTTTGGGTCTCGTGTCTCATGCCTCGTGAAGGGGGAACAAGGCCGCAAGAGCGTTAAGCAAATCAAAACGATTATGTGATAGGAAAAAAAAAGGGCAACGGCCCGAATAAGATGCTGTAGCTGATAGCCTCGAGTCTCCATAACTTAGTTCGTATCGATATCAGCATCGTGTCTGCCCGTTCCTGGCAGTAGCTCGACGCCATTGATTGAGATAACTGACTGCTGGCGTCAAAAAGCCAAGCAAGACATTGAAACCGTAGATTTTGCGCGCGCAAACAACGGTTTTTCGCAGTTTCAATTTTCTGCCGCACTTGAATTCATTGAAGCGAACGGGATGCTGCAAAATCAGAATCCAGCAGGATCAGGATCGCAAACTGCAAAATGGCTTGAAAAGCAAACAGAAACCAAGCACGTGACACAATCTGGGGAACTGACCTTTCATTCGCCGTAGCTATCTCCACTTCTCCAACCTCTTCCATCTTGGCATCTCTTCTTCCCCGCTCCCCTCCCTGCTGAGCCTGCATCTTTGCAAATCCCCGGCCGGCGGGCGCCCCCCAGAATCCAGACTGTGAGGTGAGTGCGGAGAAAAGACGACTTGGCTGTACTGTAAAACTTTCCACAAATTCCCCAGCGCCAGACTCAAAAAGGATACAAGCGCCTCACACGTTCATGTTTTAAACCTTTGTTTGCCGAACCGAGGGACCGATGCGATGGGGAGGAGGCTCGTTGGTGTTAGCTCCCTCGGTTGTGGTTGTTGTTGTTGCAGATGTTGGGTGCCTGCATGTAACGTTTCCTACAATTAGAAGATAGCCTGCTGCTGCTGCTCCCAATCCTAATCCAGTCCCATCCCATCAGTGTTCGTTCGCTGTGTTGCGTCCAGTCGTCGAAATGCCCAGACCTTTTTTCTTCTTGGGATTGGTGGTTCCAGAACCTGTCGATTTGATGTCTCCTGACTGACTGACGGAAAGAACAATGCGATGCGAAGCGATGCGATGCGATGCGGCACCAACACGACAATTTATCACCCTGAGCCAATCCGAGCACCAAGCTGAGGTTTTCGCTATCATGGGATTTTTTCCTTAACGATAGGAACGCCGGTGGCTATCTTTTCCGGTCGACTCTCTCCAGTCGTCGAAATAGCCTTGTCGGATTGCATCGCAGGGACCCGACCCAAATCACACGTGAGGTTACACGGACTGGTCTATTATTTCCTTTCCACCGCATCAATGCCAGAAGCAAGGTTGTAAGGGTATGTACATACGATTGGCCCCAACAAGCAAACCCTATCGCCGTCTAGGTTTAGACTTTTGGATTCAGACGCGCGGAAACTGACAGGTGCTCCAGTACTCCAAACTGTTTGCTTCTCCAGGTCGGCCGGGTTGGTTGGCATCCGTCGGGTATCGGACAGGTGCAACACGGAATCGTAATCTTAAAAGAAACTTTAAGTGAAACTCGATCATGGAGAGAGCTCATTGTTGCTGAGCTGTGTCTCCTCCAGCTGGCCGTGAGGGAAGCACCCAGACTGTTTGGCGACAACATGTCTTCCGGTGATAATGGTCTTGACCAGATCTTCATCCCATCACGCCGTGTCGCGTTGTGTTGGACCATGGAATTTTCACCACGGAGATGCGAGAAATAGCGACCAGGCATCTGTGTCGACAGGGTCACTTCATCAGCTGCTCGGCTGAAGACTTAAGGGCGGTTGAAAAGGCAGTCAACCTGTCCAATGGTGACAAGCCTTGCACCCAAGTGAAGCGATAAAACTGCTCGAGTTCTCGTTTGCGGTATCTTGGACGACATTATGGAGAGACATCAAGCGATCCATCGAGTGGTACCCAAGCCTGTCGTCGAGGAGCTCCGGTTCGAAGCCAACATGGCAAGGCCTATGATCACGTAATGCAAGAAGACAGGTCGGTTGTCCAAGCATGGCGGGCAACGTATTGGTTCAAGAGAAGAACTTCTGAAAAAAAAAAACACCCACACGACCTTCCCAAGCTACCGCCGCAGGCGAAGCATCAGCATGAGCAGCCGACCCTCCATGACAATCATGCAGTCATCATGCCTCTGCCACTGGCTAACAGGCATTGGGGTGTGTCAGTGTGATGAAAGCGCCCTGCAGACAGACTTCTGCCAGAAGGGCATGAGCGGCTTGATTGGATGCACCAGAGTTGCGGCTTGGAATGACGAAGGACGTGAAAGGGGGGGGGGGGGTTCTGGAGCATAAAAGGGAGGGCAGCGACACTAATCTCGCCGGAACTTTTCCAGCAGATCTTGTGTTCTTCGGATACACCAGGCCCCAGGTGTTTGAGGAATCGCCAAGACGACAAAAGGGCACAGCAGCAACAAACGAGCTAAGGATGACAATGGTGTTTTTCAACATGCCGAGAAAGCCAACCATCTGGCGGTGGCAGAAAATTGTGCGAGTAAGAACTTGACGCAAAACCAATCTCGAACACCGAGGACTACCGGGCGCAATCGATACACTAGGGAATCACTAGTGAATCCGGACAAGTGGCCACGATGCCGGCCGGAGGAGGCTCCTGATGGCCCTAATTGAAGGGGAATTCTGGTTCACAACGGCAGGAGTGCGGAAGGGTAACGACACGGGAGCGGAGACGGGGTTGTTTCAGGGGGTGGCGACTGGCCTGGATCAACGACATCCGGCCTCCGAAGGTCATGCGGGCAGAGGACCAAAAGGGTGGATGGAGTCCGGCAGATGAAACAGGGCCGTTACAGCAACGACTTTGGTTCCCGGCGGCTAACCTCCCGGCCGAATCCTCCTCGTTTCTTACCAGGCACAAAAGGGCCACCGAAGCCGCCGCAGGAAACGAAGGTCATCCCGGCGCTGATGCGTACCATGGGCATGTGTCAACCTCCGTCGCCGGCAAACCCGCAAAATGTTATGCCGGCTGCTTGTCAAAGGCGGCCACCCGGACGAGAGAGCCAAGGAATACTCCAGGAACGGTGTCAAGCAACGCAGATCCTCCGCTCTGCGAGAGTATAAATAAACATTGACACCGGCTTCGCGACTCATGTTCCGTCCTTGCCGGCGTGCCAGAGTGGATGGAAATCACGGAAGAGGTGGAATTTGATGAAAGAGATGTGGAAACCCACGAGATGACAAGCTGTCAACATGGACGGATATGAGGGGAAGGAATGGAGAGAAAGAACGGGGTCGACGGGATGGCTGGGGGGGATATGGATGTTTGGGAGAACGGCCACCGAAGCATTGCCAGCGTGCCAGCAAAACAAGATGATCTCGTGTCCAGACGGCGGT